GAACACCTTGAGCATTCTAGAAATTTTGGAATTTCCCCCTCTTGGTTATTTTTGTTACTTTTGCGTCCTTTCTTGTTTGAGCAATGTTCAAAAATCTTGATCTATTTCAGAGTCCACAAAGGGAGGCCATAGGCTGAAAACCCTGCCTTGTGCCCTGCAGCCAGCAGGGAAGTGTAAAAGGAGAATAGGGGGCTGACCCTTGGAAAGAAAGAGGTGGGCCGTCATGGTCGCCTCGTGGGAGGTTCCATGTCACCTGACGAGGGAGTTTCAGGTACAAGCTGTTTACAGTTGAGGGTATCAGCCTCAGAGCTAGAGTTACTCTCTGCAGTTTCCATTTTAAGTGCTTTCAGTCGTCCTCTTGCCAAGGCGGCTGCTGGCTCACATTGGAGCCACTAATCAGACTGGTCTCAGAGTCCATCATTCAGCTCTGGCTGTCCTTGCTGGCCCTGGCAAATGCCTAGCTGGCACTTAGCTCCTCAGGCCCCAGCCTTCTCAGCAGCAACACCCCCTCTTCCTTTTCCTTCTGATACCCCTCCGCTGCCCCCTCCTTCATGCTCTGGCTGTTACACTCTTTGTGAAACAACACTTACCATGGTCCCAGGCCAGAGGATCACCGGACCGCTCTCCCACCCAGCTGCGGGCTGGCTTTGTATTCCTAGGTTTTCGCCCGCACTGTTTTCCCAGGTGATGTCATTACCAAGAGGCGGCCCAGCACTGTGACAGAGGGAGCCTGGCTTGCCTGGCCTCTCCTTTCTGCTCTCCCCTCGCTAGCAGTGAACAGCACATTTCCCCTCTGCAGCTCATCTGTAAAGTGGACATAATACTCATAACTAGTACCTCCATCACGGGGCTGGTTGTTCAGGTGCCCTCTGTATGAGCTAAGACACATCAAAATCTTGGAACAGTGCCTGACACACACGAATGCCTTCCCGTCTCTTTGTCTTATTGCTGTCATCATTGTTGTCAGCCTTTGCGTGTCGCAGCCTCTGGACCTAGACTCCAGATTCACTTGTGTGCATTGTAGAGTAAAAAGAAGGAGCCACGTCTCAGGAAAAGTTGGCCATTTCAGATGGAAAAGAGGAATGAATGCTAGGTGTGGGCTTCGGTAAGTGAGACAAAGCCTTTAACAGAAACAGTGATGCTGCAGTTGATAGTAGTATTATTTCATTAATTTTCAGATTAATGTGGGGGTTGAGAGCACGATTCTTCTTGGTAGTACTTTTTGTCTTAAAAAAATGGAAAATATGAAACCTCAACCAGTTTTTGAGACACTGTTCAAACTAAGTTTTATTTATTAATAATTCCTAGTGCCATGTCCTTGACTCCCAATGCTGGTCTCTCTTTTTGTTTTGTTTGTTTGTTTGTTTGTTTGTTTTTTGCTTACAAGGTTATCCTCTCCAGGTTGAGTATAGGTTTTAAAATCAAGTTTTATCCTCATTTAAATTTTAGTCTTAAAAGCCTAGGGATACTGGCATCCTTGAAAAAGGAGAAGGGTGCTGAATTGAACTCCCATCTCTAGGGACAGGGTGACGAGAGGTAAAAAAGTGTGAAGACAGCTTGAGGAGTCAGGGCTGTGGCATAACCTTGAAGGCAGCAGCTTCTCTTCCCACGCCTGCATGTTTTGTCGGAGCAGACAGATGTCAGAGATACAGGGGCTAGGGTTTACACGAGTTCATTTTAATAAAATACTGATAGATTGCTCATACTTTTTTTTTTTTAAAGCTAGGTATGTGGTTATTAAAAGCAGAATGGCTTAGTTTTTGCATGTTCAGAATTTCCACTCAAAATTAAGGGGAAATGGCAGAGACAAATGTTCTCACTTTCCAGAGAAATGATGGTTGGTGTTTTAGCTCTTTTGTAATTAAATCTGGGTATAGCTCAAAAGACTCTTTAAAGAGTGTGGTGATAGGATGCTTTTCTCAGGGTAAAGGAGGTGGGGGAAGCACCTGGAACTCAAGTCTTAAACTTCTGTGACCAAACATGAGGGGTCCAGGTGAGGAGGTTGAATGAGTTTTATGGCAGCGTTCTACAGTCGCTGGAACAGACGTCTGTCAGTGTAGCCGTGACATGGACCCCAGATTTCTGGAGTTTCCAGAACTGAACCTGGGACCTGAAGGGCTTAGCAGGATGTGGCAGGAACTCTGGAGCTGGATGTTTTTATTTTTTAATTCCGGGATTGTTGACCTGGCTTGGAGGAAAGAGACAATTACCAGGCGAGCACTCCCATCAGCACTATTACTGGGAATTCCAAGACTCAAGTTTTTACCAGACCCTCAGTGCAAACTCTGGCAACCCTCCATCCAGAGGGAACTAGGTCCTGTGCCTCCTGATGGCTGCTTGTTCATCTGGACCTTTGGACTTTTTCTTCTCGCTTATCCTTAACCTCCTACTCCAACAATGAGATGCCTTGTAGCTCCCCCTTTGTCCGTTTGTCACCTGTGAATTGTCCAATTCCAGGACAGCAGAATACCTGGAGAGCAGTTTCAGAATTGTTAGCCAGTACCTCTCTGGGAAATGACAGGATCATATAGAGTCCAGGATTTATATGCAATTCCTTTGCCTTGATTCTTAAAGGTTTTGACTCATTTATATATAAATTTACATGTATCAGTGTCTTTTTTTGACACAGGGTGCAGTACGATTTTCATTCATTTGTAACACAGGTTTGATAATTCTGTCATGTTCTGTATTCTTCCCTGGGATCCAGCAACTTCCTAAATGATTATTTTTATTCGCATGCATATAGTTTACTGTTTATTCTATAAAGTTTTATGGCTTTTGACAAACGTGTGATGGCCTTTGCCTGTCATCAAAGTATCCTGGAAAGTGTTTCACCAGTTGAACCTTTCTGCTCCAAAGAATGTCTGATAGGTTTACCTTGTCTCTCATTTTGCCTTTTCTAGAACGTCATATGACTGGAATCCCAGAGTCAAGATAAATAAAGAAAGAAATAAGGGGAGATAAAAGCCTATAAAAACTTGAATATTTGAAAAACCTGGGCAGTGCTGTAGAGAATTACAGTGTGCTTTGGAGGACGTGTGTGGCTCATATAAGGAAAAAATTAATTTGAAGAAGTTCAAAAGAAAAAAAAAGATTTAATAAAGTAAACTGTTTTTAATGTAGAGCTTAAAAGAGAAGTAAAAGTTTGAGCAGGTAGGCAGGGCTGGGGCCAGGGGAGCCTTCCCAGAAGAGGCAGAAGCATGAGCACAGGCTTGGAAGGAGAAAAGAAACGCGGGAGGAATCCAGAGCAGTTTTAACTCAGCAAGAAATACAAAATAAGGTTGAAAGCTTCCTTGGGAAAGTGTGGCTAGATTCCTTGATTTGGTTCAGGATGGAGAATCCTCAAAGCATTCTGAGGGGAGTCAGACAGCGGGTGCCTTCAATACAGTTGTCTGAGGCAGACTTGAAGATAGATTGGGGTCCTAGTTGTGGAGACCAGTTCCGAGGCTCAGGTCCAGAAAATAAATTACACGGAATGTGGTTTACCCCGCTCTCTGGAGGTAGAGTTCCTATGAAGACTTTTGTAAGTCAAAACGTACATTGAGGGGGCACCTGGGTGGCTCAGTGGGTTAGGCCTCTGCCTTAGGCTCGGGTCGTGATCTCAGGGTCCTGGGATCGAGCCCCGCGTCGGGCTCTCTGCTCAGCAGGAAGCCTGCTTTCCCCTCCCCCTCTACCTGCCTCTCTGCCTACTTGTGATCTCTCTGTCAAATAAGTAAATAAAATCTTAAAAAAAAAAAAAAAGTACATTGAGGAAGCAATTACCATCAATTTATACAGAACCACTTTGGAACATTTCCAGACCCAAACTATAACCTCTCCCAGACTCTTCTGGTACCTTAAGACACATCTTGCTAACAGGTGCACAGAATAAATCAGGACAAAGCACAGGTGCCCACAGACACAATTCTAAGCTAGGCAGCTCGATGCTAAGATGCTAAGCGTCCTTCTGGGCGAGGAGCTGGGCTCTCCTGGTCCTGGCTGCCTCCGTGAGGCTCACTGCCAAACAATTTTTGCTTTTCTTGAAAAAGCAAAAAGCCTTTTCTGGTTTCTTGTATTTAGTAAAAATTGGCGCTCGTGTAGGTATTTTGCAAAAGTGAAGTAACTTGAACTTGCAGACAGCAGAGGATCTCTGTGTATGTATATATACACGTGTGCAAGATGTGTATACACACACATAATGTACCTATATATACATGCACACACGTAAACACACACACGTAGATATGCTCCCTGAGAACAGGATCCTCACAGTCTTGCCCATACTATATCCCCAGCTCCTGATCCAGTGGCACAGAATCAACACTCAGATCTTATATATGACTGAGACATATTAATTACCAATACTAATAACCAATAATTAAGATTGCTCTACTGATTTCTACTTGCCCTCTTTTCAGGGTTCCTCTCTCCAGCAATTCCTATGAACTACTTACAAATTCATTTAGCTATGATGCAGATAAAATAACTATTACATGAGTTTAAAGGTATGTTTTTGTCCAATGTCCAATCCACAATCCATAAATCGACTGCCTTTTAAAATTCATGGCTCCAGTAGAGTTAAATCTAATCCCTGCCTCTACAACCCACCCGTGGGCCCTGTTTGTACATCCTTCAGATCCCTCTTTCTCCGCATTTCTTTATTGCTGTCTTTCCATTCCCAGCCTATATGCTTCCGTTTCCATCTGATTATTCCCTACTGAAGGGCCTTGGAACTCATATTAAAATCAAAATTCTCAGAAATGCTAAAAACAAGTACCACAAGCACAGCTTGCAGTTAGAGAGGGATTGCTAGACAGTGGAACTCCTTGAAAACACTGGTGTGGACAGAAAAAGTCTGGCATTGGTAAGTAAACTCAGGATAGCATACAGAAGTGCAGTTAAGCCCAGCAGACCATATGAATGAGGTTTTTGAATTTTGCATCCCAAGTGAGATGGAAAAACATTGCAAGTTTTGAGCCGAGTGACATGTCTGGGTGGCAGGTGCTCTGCTGAGGGCAAACATGTTGCTCGAGGAACAGAAAGGGGCTCTTCACCCGGACGTCAAGGATCAGAGGTCCGATCCAAAAGACAAGTGTAAAAGGAGCAAAAGAGATTAGCTCCAGCTAAGGTCCAGAGGTGAGCTCAAGCATGGAGTGCCTGAGAAATGGAGATCCTTGCACAATGTGAAGGATTTGAACTTGCTCCTGAGGCAGTGGGAGCCAGGGAAAGTTTTATGGTGGGGAGGGACATGACAAGTAACATGGCCCTTATTCAGGTCATTCTGAGAGCCAAGTGGAGGAGAGCAGGAAGACAGGAGGCATGAAGGACAGGTGATGGGATCCCAAGGTGATGCTGGCCGGTGGAGGGAGGGGAGGGTCATTTTCCCTTTTTCCCCCTCTAGGTTCTTTGATAATTAAATTGACATAAGACAGAGTAACAGGAGAAAAATGTATTTTGTATGTATAGGAGCTCATAGACATAGGAGATTCAAAGAAGTGACCAAAGCAGGCAGCTTTTAGACCTTTTAGACAAAGAAACTGTATTTGTAAAGAGTTGACAGGATGTTGACGCCTGGGTGGCTCAGTTGGTTAAGTGGCTGGCACTTGATTTCAGCTCAGGTCATGATCTCAGGGTTGTGAGACCCTTAAAATTCTCTTTCTTCCTCTCCCTCCCTCCCCCCTCGCCCCACCCTGTGCGTGCTCTCTCTCTCTCAAAAAAAAAAAAAAAATTAAAGTATTGAGAAGACAAAGAAGTTTGGATTTGGGGTAGTAAATTAGCAAAGAAGTAACAAGGTTTGTTTATACAACTCTCTTGGCCTTGGAATTCCTATCTTTGGGGCTAAGAATGTCTCCTTTCCTCCTGGTACAAGGGGGTTACTTTTCACATGGGAAACTTCTTTCCCACTAACAGGGGAACAAAGTCAGTGTCCTTGCATTGGCTGTTTCTTATGTAATTTTAATTCAAAATTACCAACATGCCAAAGTGGCATATTTGGAGGCAGCCGGCATCGAACCCCACCACCCGCATTAAGTCAGCATTGCAGGGATGGAGAAGAGGAGCCAGATTCTGAAGAAATCGCTCAGGAAGAATCGGTAGGAGTTTGTGATTGAGCAGCTGTAGGGAATGGGGAAGAGGGAGGGTCTGAGAAGGCCTGCAGGCACCCAGTAGCCAGTCATTCCAGAGGAGTCATTTCTCTGAGGATGTAGAGAATGGGAACAGACACACCTAGAGTTCCAACGGAAAGGCCCTGATGCTTCTTTGCCTTTTGTTAAAACACAGAATTCAGCTGGGTAAACTTAAAGATCTAATTGACTGTACTCAACAATTCAGGATTCAAGGAGCATCCCATCTAGCAAACAGAAGGGAAGTCTGAGGAGTTGTACCATATGGAAGGTGGTTTTTGTTTTTTTTTTTTAAGATTTTTATTTATTTACTTGACAGAGAGAGAGAGAGAGAGAGAAAACAGGGGGAGGGACTGAGGAAGAAGCAGGCTCCCTGTTGAGCAGGGAGCCAGAAGACACAAGACTCGATCCCAGGACCCTGAGATCATGGCCTGAGCCAAAGGCAGACACTCAACTGACTGAGCCACCCAGACACCCCTGCCCCCGTCCCACCCTCAAGCCCTTACTGCCTTTAAAAACCTTCCATTTGAGGCACCTGGCTGGTTCTTTTGGGCCCCTCTACCCCATCCACCTCCACCTCTCAAATAGATAAATAAAATCTTAAAAAATAAATAAATAAAGGGAGAAAGGGGGTGGGAGAGGGAAGTAATAAGAGAAAAGACTATTTTAGATAAGGTGAAGGGCAGGGATCAGTCACACAACTGGGGTCAACTCAGATTGACTGGGTAAAGGTCACATTGCTGGGAGGGGAGGAAACTATAATTAAGTCTTGGTTTGCCGTCTTGGAGGGGCAGGTGGCTCCGTTTTGGACCTGTCGTGCCATTTTCACCCTCCCGGAATGGGAAGTGGCACTGTGGGAGGCGGCTGGTACTTTAGGGAACGTTGCGGTCTGCGTGCAGTAGTTCAGGAAACCAGGCTATAGAAAAGAAGGTTACACGGTCCGTTCTTTTTGCTGTGGATTTTAACTACATATTTGGATTTCTAAAAATGAGACCTAACACTGTTAGTTCCCAGTACCCTTCATTCTGGAGCAGCCTCCCTTCAGCAGCATATGTGGGGTGTAGGGAACACGGCGTCAGTTTTCTCTGGAAATATTTCACGTCTGTCTTCCGGATCCCAGGCTCTCTGTGTTCTCCTCCAGCAAGACGGTCGTGGCAGGGGGGAGGCAGTGCCAGTCAGGCTGGCCTGGGGGCCCAGGTTTGGTCCTGAAATCCAAGTACCCTGGCCTCTGAGAGCTGTCGGCCCCCAAGGGTGGAAAACAGGAGTGGGCTGAGGGCCGAGGGAGTGAGCAGGCTGTGTGCCTGGAAACCTGAGATCTAAATTTAGGTTTAACAGCCGTAGTGGAGAATGTACCTTTCGGAAGCTGCAAAGCTGAAATTGTATGAAGATGATGGGGTTTAGATCATCCTTGAGACAAACAACCTGCTAGGTTTGGATTAACCGGCTGGATTTTTTTATTAGTGTTTCTCACAGAAATCAGTATGAATCAAACAGATGCAGGAATGGCCAGCGTATGGTGACAGTGTGACAAACAGCAGGACACGCATTTTTCTAGGCTGGACTGCCATCCCCCCGCCACACACACACACACACACCCCCAACCACACTGAAACCAGATCAACTCACCTGCTGGGATGACGAAGGGACATGCAGAAGCGTTTCTGGTTTATCAAGACGGAGAACAGACGCTTCCCGCCCTTGGCTCTGTTAGAACTGTCAGTTCTAACAGTTTTTGTCTTTACTGGTTCGTTTCAGTTCTTCAGCCTTTGGATGGCTCAGGGTGGGCTCATTTGCATTGTTATTCTGCTATTTCCATCTTTTCAGGATCCACACTGTTCCATCTGAAGCTCACGGTGGGGAAACTGAGTCCACAAAAGGTTTATGCAGAACTTAACAGATCGGCGCACTCAACGGCAATGTTGAGAAAGACCAAGAGCAAACCTGAAGCGATGTTTTGGTTTCCTGAGTGTGTGTGTGTTTGCACACGTGCGCGTGCATGCGCGGTGAGGGAGGCAAGTTTGGTGGATGTAGTACCACAGGAAAAGTGTCCAGGAGTGGCCTTCTCTCTGTCGACTATGCTTTCAGTGAAGTTGCTAGTAACCAGTATTTGCATAGAATAAAAGAACAAGTGAATATCTGGAAATCTTCTCTTTTCTGTTTCTGTATCCTGTAACCACAGTAACAAGGCTTCTTGGGGTTTTTTAAGAAAGCAAATTATGTGTGGATTGTTAAAAAATATATATTGCAGGTGAAGTAGAAATGACGCTTACTGTGTAATACAGTTTTCAGTGTGCAAATGAATATGTCCTTAGATGTCCTTTTGCACAAAACCCATTAAGCCTAAATCTAGGGTCACCCTAGCCCCGAGTTCCTGGTTCTTGACCTCGCAGGAGAGGCTTGACCGATACCATCTCAATATCGGGGAGGGAGAGCCCTCTAGTGGAAAGTCATCAGGGCAGACAGTGCATCAGGAAAGGACTCCCAAGAAGTCAAAGGAAGAATATTCAATTTAGTCCAGCCAATTGAACTCCAATGAGTACGCATGGTATGACTCGCCATATCTTCCTGCTGATTTGGAAGATGCTTATCAACAAATCTGTGATGTAGAGTCATCAAGAACCTATTGAGGACTGGGCTAAGTAGATACTCAAATTAGAATAATTATTCTGAGGACATAGAGCCTTCTTCATAGCCCTCACCTGAAAAGCTTGGGATGGGCAAGGTTGGGGAATAGAGGATACATTTAGGTAATAAATAGTCAAGTTTAAATTAGATGGGATGACTCACTCCCACACCAGGATTATTAGCTATAAGGTTTGTTCATGGGTCCAGCTGCTTCTTTAAGCAGGACACGCCATTCTAACCTTTGCCTTCCCCAAGTCTGTCCCCTGAGTTGGGCCATGACCATCATCATAATTCAGTGGGTGATTTACCTTGTAACTAGGAAGAAAGAGACAAAGCACCCTGACCCTAACACATGCCTGAGATTGTAATTCTAGATTTTTGCAAAAATGTTCATACCCTGTCAACTAGGGTCATGATATTTCTGTTGGCTCTTTATTCTTGTCATTAACTACTTATAAATAAAATGAGAGACTTTCAAGATCTTAAAACTTGGCAGTTTAAAATGATTTCTTGATATTAATGGTTTCTATAGAGACTCGTTTTAAAAGCATGTTGTATGAGAAATTCCCTGTTGTACATGTGCGTTAACAATGCATTCTAGGGACGCCTGGGTGGCTCAGTGGGTTAAGCCGCTGCCTTCAGCTCAGGTCATGATCCCAGGGTCTGGGATGGAGTCCCACATCGGACTCCTTGCTCAGCAGGGAGCCTGCTTCTCTCTCCACCTCTGCCTGCCAGTCTGCCTGCTTGTGCTCTCTCTCTCTCTCTGACAAACAAATAAATAAATAAAATCTTTAAAAAAAAAAAAACCAATGCATTCTAAAAAACGTGTATCACTTGGATTGTGCCCCTTTGCTTATTGCTCTGCATGAGCCCCTCCCCTCATGGGCTCAAAAAGCTTGTTTCCCGGCAACAAGAATCCAGCTTTGAAGCATGTGCCCTTCAAAGCTCTCGGAAGATGCCTCACCAGGATGGTAAAGTCAGTCTGAAAATGCACGCTCCAGACACTGGAGCTAAAACCGCAACTGCCCTTGCTTCTAGCCTGTGACCCTGCGGTCTTTGACTATGTCGTCAACACAGCTGAATTGTCCTTTGCCAAACAGAAAATGGCTACAGCAAGGATTTGTAAAGCCTATCTATACTTCAAGGACCGTCTTAAAGCCTCGTATCTTCCTTGGGGCTTGACGGGTATGGCTGTTTCTGAAGTCTCGGTGGCCGTGCTCTCCATAGGACTTACGTCATGTGCTGTGTTCTGTAGTGGCTCCCTTCCGTGCACGTGGGTCCCGCGGCCCTGGCACACACATGTGCCCCTAAAGGCAAGGCCAGTGTATCTGTATATCCGGGGTCTAGTTCACTCACCCATCCATTTGTCTGGCCGTCACTGCAGATATGCGTTATCTGCAGACAGATCCTATTACACTCTCTAGAAATGCCTTTGTGAACAAAACGAACAAGATCTTTCTCCTGATACGGAGTCCTGGTCGGTGGTGGTGGGTGGGGGAGTGGCAAACCTTAAATTCGTAACCAAGAATGGCCATTTTCCACAAGGAAAGATACATAGACGTTTATACAAGGTGATAGAAATGGCAGAGGAAAAAAGAAGATGGTACCCTAAGAGAGAACATGGGGTGGTGGTGAGGGGGGAGCTTACTTAGACTGGAGGGTTAGAAAAAGCTTCTGAAGTCGTGGTATATCAGCTGAAAGCCAAAGACACATGGTACCTCCCATACAGCAGGTGCTAAAAAGTATTTCTGGCTCTGAGAACTGTTTAACCAGGACTCCGTGCACATGGTGTAGACCTTCTGTGTTTCCTCCAGGCTGTGTCTCCCAGTGCAGTCCTCCCCCTGCCCTTATTAATGCCACCAACCTGTGTTTGTTCTTTCTGGCGCTCCCTTTTTCCGCGAGCCCATGGACACCCCTGCCATGTCATCCCAGGCTACGGCGGAAGTGTTCAAAAACAATATTCGACTGAGCAAATTTTAAAGATCTGATTTTATCCAGGGATTCATGATATCAGCCAGCATCCCATCTAGCAGATAGAAAAGAGCCCCAAAGAGCTCTACACATTGAAAGACTTTTGTAGGGAAAAGGGAGTGGACACGAGGAAGTTGTACTAGCAAAAAACAGATTATGGTATTATATGCGGTTATAATCAAATCCCTCTTATTCCCTTACAGGTAGGTACAGACACTTCCAACTTGAGAAAGGCAGACCCCAAAGGTCGGAGTGCCCTATTGGCTGATATCCAGCAAGGAACTCGCCTACGGAAAGTCACGCAGATCAATGACCGCAGTGCCCCACAGATTGAGAGTAAGTGAGCTGCTAGGCCGGGCTTGATGTGCGTCAAGGGCAGACCACGTGGGCCTCAGCCAGGCACCTCTGGCTTGCTCAGGCCAGGGTCCACACTTGCTACCCAGGACGCACTTTGGGCTATCGCAGACTTGCACAATGTACAGGCCACGTGGGTGAGAGTCAGAGCTCCCTTTCCATGTCTGCAGATGGTTTAGAGCCTATCTTCTACCACTATTCAGATGCTAAACAAACAAGTAAAACCATGGTGGAATAACTATTTCTTTTAATGGTGACAAAATACACATAATGTGATGGGGCACCTGGGTGTCTCGGTGGGTTAAGCCTCTGCCTTTGGCTCAGGTCGTGATCTTGGGGTCCTGGGATCGAGCCCCGCGTCAGGCTCTCTGCTTGGCAGGGAGCCTGCTTCTCTCTCTCTGCCTGCTTCTCTGCCTGCTTGTGATCTCTCTCTCTGTGTCAAATAAATAAAATCTTTTAAAAAATTAAAAAAAAATACACGTAATATGAAATTCACCGTCTTAGCTATTTTAAGGGTCCGTTTCAGTGACATTTGTACATTCACAATGTGGTTGCAGCCATCACCTCAGTCTAGTTTCAGAACATTTTCATCACTCTGAAAGGAGACCCCATGCCCATGACATGTCACTCCCTATTCCGCCAGTCCCTGGCAGCCGCTCAGTGTACTGTGTGTCTCCGTGGGTTTGTGTCTTTGGGATATTGACGTGAATAGAATCATACGATATGTGGCCTTTGGGGACTGGCTCCTTCACTTAGCATAATGTTTTCCAAGTTCATCCAAGCTGTCGCGTGCGCCTTCTTACTGTCGATGACTATTCCATCGTCCGGATATTCCAGTCTGTGTTCATCCATGGTGGGATACCTTCTAACGATCACTGACCCTGCGCCCACCTAGTCCTCAAAGAGAGAAAAATTAAAGTCTCAACATTATAGTGTGCCAAATCGTGTTCGCAAGGAAAAAAGATGTCCCCAGACTGAGTCCCGAGTCTGCTACCAGGTGTATCTGGGAATTTCTCTGAGATTCAGTACACTCAGCTACAAAATGCGGGAGGTAGTGATAATTGCTTTTTCTTTCTTTCTTTCTTTCTTTTTTTTTTTTGGTCACGATTGCTGAAGGTTGAAATAATTTATGCAGAATTATTTATCAATGTCATCTCTTGTTATGTCTTCATATAGTTTTCAATGATGCACATGATGGTAATTCTCAAAGATAGTCCTAAAAATGTAATTGTATCTAGTGTCTGTAATTATATATTTTCATATACAAGGATACTTTAAGAAGTATTTTCAACAATTGCAATAAAAATTAGTTTCCAGGAGACCCACTAATTGGTTAAGCCCAATTACCAGATAAACCCATCTGACTGGAACACTCACTCCCTAATCATTCCAGTTGATAGGTAATATATATAAATACTCAAAATAATCTGAACACATTCATCCACCAGTGCGCACTGTGCCCTGATACCTCTGCGCAAGTTAGCCCCAGGCTGTGAACATTTCTTTCTAGGCATTCTTGTCTACGCTGAATGCCTTCTCGTTGCATGGAGTTGGTCATCACACACATCTGGAAGGCTGGCATTACGGACACCTCTCCCCCAGGGTTTCACAAGAAGAAAAGATGCAGGAAAGGGTGCAGGGCTCAGGGACACCTCTCCCATAGGGTTTCACAAGAAGAAAAGATGAAGGAAAGGGTGCAGGGCTCAGGGACACCTCTCCCATAAGGTTTCACAAGAAGAAAAGATGCAGGAAAGGGTGCAGGGCTCAGGGAGTAAGAGCTGGTGAGATGGAGAAGGAAAATGCCAAAGCATCAATCATTGCAGACCTTCCCTTCCTGCTTGTAGTCCTGGGCCAGACTCTGTGGACGAGAAGTTACAATTACTGACTCAACTAAATCCATGGGTTTTCTCTGGTCCTCCCACAACAGTCGAGTTGAAAATAGGGCTGGCGCTACACCTACAATGTTTGGGTGCTCGCATTTGGAAGGTGCTGCCAGTTCCCCCTCTGGCATCAGTGGAATGGCAGTATTTAGGTCCCTTCGTTTGGGTCATTTTTCAGGGTGCTCGGCTACCAATGGTCAGTTCCTAGGTGAATCCGGAGAGAGTAGTAGACAGGCGTGAGCACAGGAGTCTGCGGGGTAACCGGGCAGAGGGGTTTGGGAAAGATGCCCACTAGGAGGGAAGGGCTGGAGGTGGGAGGACGGGAAGGCTCCCCTGGGTGCTGTTGGATCACGGCCCGGACTGAGACCAGGCTGCTCCGCTCTGCTCAGAAGTCCTCATCTACTTGCCTCTTCTCTGAAAGGCTCTAAAGGAACCAACAAAGAAGGAGGAGGGTCTGCAAACTCTCGAGGCGGAAGCACACCCCCAAGCCTGGGAGATCTGTTTGCTGGTGGCTTTCCTGTGCTGAGACCAGCCGGCCAGAGGGATGTGGCAGGTAAGGGAGAATTCAGACTGATTTACCTGGTGATCTTTCTGTCCTTGACACATAAAATCAGCTGGGCAATCGTCCTGAGCCATGAGGATTGTGGCATGTTTTTAAGAGAAAGTTGCATAGCAGGAGATCATGGTTTGGGAGCGTGACCGGGAATTACCCAAAGCATTGTTCTCAAGGGATCTTGTAAATCATCATCCTGTTTAAATCATCCCGTTGTAATAATTGAAGAATGACTTGCCACTGTGTGTAGTGCTTAGCAATGGCGTGATTGGGGCCCCCATTGCAAAGTATAGACCAAAGGTATAAAGCCCTTCAGAAAAATCTTAGTGATATCACCATAACGTATCAGGCATTGTTATCAGTTAGGTGTTGCTGTATAACCAAATAGGCTAAAACTTAGGGACCTCATACAACCATGTATCTGGCTTATAGTTCTGTGGTTGGCAGTTTAGGATGGGCTCACCTGGGCTCCCTCTGGCAAGTGGGTAAGATGGCTTTTGCTAATCTTAGCTTGGGTAAGGTGGCTTTTGCTAATCTTATATTTCTTAAATCTTTCATGCCTCAGCGGAGATGATTGGCCTGACACATCCATATGGTCTCTCAGTGTCTGGCAGAATATTTGGGATTATTTTTCCTGTTGGTGGTAGGGTATACAAAGTCTCTTAAGGCTTAGTCTTAGAGTTGCCACAATATTGCTTCCTACAACACCCTCTCGTCCAAGCCACAGGACCAGCCCAGAAACAAGGGTGGGGAAAGACACTTCACTTCTGGATGGAAGGTCTGCAAAATCACATTTTAAAAATCATAGAATCAGGAGTGAGTGGATAATCAAGGCCATTGCCTCAGCCAGTCTACTGCAGTCGTTTGTGTGTTATGGGTATCAGGTATTTTGAAAGCATTGCATTAAAATTGGGCAATTGGGGCGCCTGGGTGGCTCAGTGGGTTAAGCCTCTGCCTTTGGCTCAGGTCATGATCTCGGGGTCATGGGATCCAGCCCCGCATCGGGCTCTCTGCTCAGCAGGGAGCCTGCTTCCCCCCTTCTCTCTCTCTGCCTGACTCTCTGCCTACTTGTGATCTCTCTCTGTCAAATAAATAAATAAAATCTTAAAAAAACAAAAAATAAATAAATAAAATAAAATTGGGCAATTACTTATTAATTATGTGTGATAGAAGTGTTTTTCCTGTTATTATTCTCTTTAGCCAACAAGCGGGAATAAGCTCTGAGAATTGCATTAATCAGGGAATATCAAGCCCCAAACGTTGCTGGTATAGAATCTTCTGGCATGGGGTTTGCCAGCCTTTTCAATGGGCTCTGTGGCTGTTTGACATAATGGGGTGCATTTGCTTCTGTCACCTACTGACAAAGTCCAGCAAAGATAAGGGCTGTACGATGCTTTCAGATCCAGTTTGAATCTTCTCAGAGGCCATTGCCTTTCCTCTTTTTTGCAAAAGGTTTAGCAAAGAAGGTTGGCATTTCCCAGTGCCACCTTTTTCAAAATTCTTGAGTGGTATCAAATAAATATCATATAATATAATATACTATATATTGTATTATTATATATTATAATTATATATATTATTTTATATAATTAGTTTATGTTGATAAATATATAATACTTATATGATATATGTTATATATAATTTATGTTATATATAATAATATATATTATGTTATAATTATTGTTTTATATACATATATAAATTGTCTACCAGTTTCTCTTCATAGAAGTACACATAGGAGAAATAGCCCCCAGTCAGTTTTAACAGAGACCAGCCAAAGGAAGCCAGCTCTTCTCTATTCCTACCTGTCAACACTAGGACACAGGTTTCTGATGCCTGAGCCACTCTGTTAAACAAGGATTAATTTCAGTAGAGGAGATGGAAATCCTTAATGCAGTGGCTGATGATGCCTGCTACAGGATAGTAGCTCAATAAATAGAGCCAATAAATAGATGCATGGGCTGGGTGCCATGTCAGAGAAAGACAGACCATGGCCGTCCCTCCCAGAACCCTTCTATCAGCCCCCTCGTCATTCAGAGAAAAGGACTTCAGCCTTTGCTACCTCTCTCATGTTACTGTCTTCCACTCTTCCCTTTCAGCTGCATGGCCCTCTCGCTGTTCTTATACACACTAGGCATGTTGCTGCCACAGGGCCCTTGCACTGATGGCTCCCTTGACCAGGAACGCTCTTCCTCAGGTGTCTTCATGACTCATGCTCTCCCTTCCTTCAGGTCTCTGCTCAAGTGTGACCTGATCAATCTATCAGTGAGGTTTTATTCATCAACCCATATAAAATATCAGCCTCACCCCCTTACTCCCATTTCCCCTCTACCTTTAGTTTTCTTATATTACTGATCACCATCTGACATGTTATATATTTACTGGTTTATTTGTTTATTTCTGTCTTCTCCCTCTAAAGGTAAGCTCTGTGAAAGCAGGAACTATGTTTTTTTCACTGCCTTAAAAATGCCGGATTCATAGTAGATGCTCAGTAAATATTTGTTGAATGGAATGTGGGCGTAGATAGCATGGTTGCTTAGGGCCATCAGGCCAAGAAAACAGAGTGTGGTGCTCACAGTACTTTGGCATGAAAATGTTTGGATATCTTCTAAAATCAGAAAAAAAAAAACCCAACCATGAACTTTTAGAGTCAAAGATTATATTTGTTTTTATAGCAATGCACCTATGAAATGTCTTCAAAAGCCATAATTTGGTCTTGGCTTGGAGTTCTGAAGAGTGATCATTAAAATAAGATGGGGGGCACCTGGATGGCTCAGTCGGTTAAGCATCTGACCAGCATTCCAGGGTCCTGGAATCAGCCAGGCATCGGTCTCCCTGGTCACAGGGGGTCTGTTTCTCCCTCTCCCTCCCTTTTTGCTCCTTCCCCAGTTCATCCTCTCTCTCTTAAATAAATAAATAAAATATTTTTATTTATTTATTTTTAAAGATTTTATTTATTTATTTGTCAGAGAGAGAGAGAGAGAGAGAGCACAAGCAGGCAAAGTGGCAGGCAGAGGCAGAGAGAGAAACAGGCTCCCCCCGAGCAAGGAGCCTGATGTGGGACTCGATCCCAGGACTCTGGGATCATGACCTGAGCTGAAGGCAACAGCTTAACCAACTGAGCCACCCAGGCATTCCTAAATAAAATCTTTTTAAAAAGTAAAAAAATAAGATAGGATGAGGAACACTACTGGGTTCTATGGAATGTGTAATGAGACTTCCATGCCATCTAAAGTCTTCTGGAAACATACCCAGATTAAAGGAACATACACATCCTTTGTCTTTTGATGACCCCAGGCTCTTGATGCACTCAACCTGGCCTTTCCCCACCCTCTCTGTGGTCTCCTTTTGTTTTCCAATTTGATTTCTAGGGGTAGCCTTTATGTGATAATGGAAAGCCTCCTCCTTCCTTCCCTTGGCTCTCCGCTGGCTGGCCCCGTGCTACCCGAGTTCCTGGCCTGCACTTGACACTGTTAGTTCCTGTGTCTGTGGGTCTCACCTGCAGTGCGCGCTGCCCACTCTCTGCTGAATCCTGGAGTGGGCCTGAGCAGAAGCCAAGTGAGGATTTGTGCCTACCTTGCCTCCGCTGTTCATGTCATGATAAAAATAAGTTTGCCCACTTCTCATTTGCTTGGCTGCTTAGTAAACAGAAGCTTCTGTACTTTTAACTGACTCGTTCTAAGAGCTTTTGGATCTTGGGCACTTGGTGTCCTCAGTCATTTCCAAAGCCTGCATTGGTTACTCAGGGGCTGATTATGCTCCTTGAACTTATTAGCCCTTTTAAATTCATGGGGAGAGTAGGCATATAGGGAGGCCTCACCTTGTTAGGGACTGCTTTGGTCCTCCCTCTCCATCTCTGTGTGCTGTGGAAGCAGGCTTGGAAGCAGGAATCTCTGAGCCTGACCCCTGCCCTAGACCTCCCATGAAATGTCTAACATTAGCGTTGTGGGTGGTAGATCCCATCCTTGGCAAGGCCAGGTGGGGGCCTTCCCTCCTAATCATGGTCTGCCAGCTGTTATCAGTGCCTACCTTAGACCCCAAGGGGATCAGTGATGTCAGACAGGGTGGAGGCATTGGTATGAAGATGTTATCTCTTCTGAAATGGCCCCAAAGAAAACCCTCAACAGAAGAATGGGGACATCACTACCCTGCCCCCAGAGCAGCTGTTTGGTATGGAGACCTGTAATGAGTAGTGCTACCCAGGTAACTGTCCCCTCATCACCGGCGGGGGGAGGGGGGGATCCCTGTGGAAGGCCAGGTGCTGCCATTCGGCCCACTGAGTTTCAGCTCCAGCATCCCCTCTGCCACACCTCGCTTTGATTGCCTGGCTTTTGGCATCAAGCCCTTTGGGGTACGATCTTGCACCTGGTTGGGTAAACACAACTGGAGACTGATCAGCTGAAAAGCTCAGAACCACCACCAGATGCTGGGGTTTCTAACCTGATTTGAAATTCATGGTTTTTATTCTGCAACACCCGGGAAGCTGTAGGTGGGAGAAGCAACCATCTTTTCACGTGTTCTGCACATGTTTTCATCAGGGTAATAAAATACAAGGGTGCAAGGATAAGAAAAGACGGATTCCCTGGAATTCCATTCGGGAGGGCAGTGTATCTGTTTGGAAGGAGGATTTTAGCGCGCCTCCTGAGCGGACGGTGATTCGCTAAAGACACATTTAAGCAGGGATCGCAGACCTTCCGTGCTTTAGTAAATGGAGAGGGGAACATCCTTCTCCACGGCGAGAGATAGATGTGGGGGAGAGAGTGCGGTACGGTGCAAGGGCTTTGTGCAAAGAGTGGCAAGGCCCTCCTAGGGTGCACCTCTGCCCAGCCTTCCCCGAAGCACACCACACACACATCGCTGTGAGGAGTGTGCCATTGTGAGTTCCCAAGAGCCCTATTTTCCAAGTTGGGGTTTGTGGATCTGTGAGTTCAGGAGACCCAGGAGACCAGGAGACAGAGAGCCTGTTGCAAATGGGCATGTCTTTTGCAACTTCCAGAGGCCATGGAACTGGGAGGTTCAAGGTCGTTGGACCTGGATCCCCAAGTCAGTTCCCACTGTCTTCTGAGTGACATTATACATTCAAGGAATGATTCATCTTCTGATCTTGCTGCAGAAAACAAATGCTCACACCATGCTGGAAGTGAGGAAAGCCTCCCTAGCAAGGAGCCTCTTGTTGGTACACCTGAAGGTCCAAACTAGGATGTACGGACTGGGTCCCCAACTGCACTGACTAGTGGGTAGTGGTGAATGAGTGTGAGGGTGGTGTTGCAATGAGGAAGGCCGAAGGAGGCCAGAACAGTCCAGTGCTCTGGGTTGGGAGACTCCTGGGCCCTTGGCAGGTGAGGGCAGAGGTGGGATGGAACAGGAAAGCTGGTCCTGCACCACAATCTGGTGGCTTGAGCTGGGCTATGATAGGTGCTGCCCCGGAGGCTTCCCGTTGAACCTGCAGGATGACAGCGCCCACCACACAGTTCACGGACATCATGCTGGATGGTGTGTGTCTGTCTTCACTGCCTACAAACTTCAGTTTCTCCTTCCTCTGTCTCTGAGCTGACTCAAAACTTGTTTTCCTTCCAGGTGGCAAGATAGGGCAGGCCCCTGGCTCCCGAGCACCTTCTCCCCGGCTGCCCACGAAAGCTCTTGGTGGCCCACTTAACCCCCCTGCATCTCCCAGGCTAGGCAGTGCCTCGGAGGCTCATGGCACCTCCAGGACAGTCCCTCCTCGCCCCAGCATGCCTGCCCCACCGCCACCCACCCTACCCCCACCTCCTCCACCCCTACCCCCACCCCTGCCCCCTTCCTCCCCCACCAAAGCTCCACTGGTATCCCCACCTGGCCCGCCCACCAAAGGGAACACCCCAGGGGTTGCTCCCCCTCTCCCCTCTGCACCTCCCCCTCCTCCTCCACCCCCACCCCTCCCTCCTACCACACCCCCATCCTCCCTGACCTCTGTTCTCAGTGACAAGGCCTTGAAGCCTCAGTTAGCCCCCTTGCCCCTGCCACCCATCCCACCCCCACTCCCTCTCCTCCCCCCTTGTGGGTATCCGGGGCTCAGTGCAGATGCTGCCAGCCCCACCCAAGATATTCGGGAGCCTCCTGCCCCACCGCCTCCGCCACCCCCACTCCCTCTTTATACCTCCTGTACCCCGAGGTTGTCTGTGCCTGCTCCTCCTTTGCCAGGAGCTAACAACAACAGTGAGGCTCCACTCCTCCCACCCCCCAAGTCCCCCAGCTTCCAGGCCCAGCCACCCAAGTCCAGTGCGCAGGCCTTGCCGACACCGCCAGCCCCTCCAGGATCGCAGCCATTCCTGCAGAAGAAGAGGCCCGGCCGAGGCCCAGGTAAGCACCAGTCTTCAGGCCCAGGGTGGCCGTAGCAGAGGACCACTCAGCCAGTGATTAAGAAGGTGCTGGGAGGGGCACCTGGGTGGCTCAGTGGGTTAAAACCTCTGCCTTTGGCTCAGGTCGTGATCCCAGGGTCCTGGGATCGAGCCCTGTATCGGGCTCTCTGCTCGGCAGGGAGCCTGCTTCCTCCTCTCTCTCTGCCTGCTTCTCTGTGATCTCCGTCTGTCAAATAAATAAATAAAATCTTAAAAGAAAAAAAAGAAGGTGCTGGGAACACAGCCAGAGCCTTGCTCCTAAGGCAGACCCACTTGGGAACACCTTGAGATGTCTTAACTCTTGGAATTTGTTTTAGAACTGAGCTATCAGTGCCCCTCATGGAGCACAGTCATACTTATTGTATGGGACTTTATGTTGTATTCATGTTAGGGACAGGAAACCAAGAGGAAGCAAGGCTGAAAGGCTTGTCCAAGATCACACAGACCCAGGCCGGGCATTCTGGCTTTGATCACCTTGCAGTTACTAGGGGAGTGACCCTCGGCAATCCCTTAGCGTCTCTGGGCTTCCTTCTCCTCATCTGTAAAATGGGGCCAGCAATAGTTCCCACCTCTTGTGATTGTTGGAGCCGGGCCTAGCAACACTGAACTCTAGAGAAGCATTATTTCTTCTTACTCTCACCCTTATAGACCCAAATCTCCAGCCTGAGGGGGCTGTGGGTGCGGTCTGTTTCCAGAACCAGGTGTCTGGTATCATTTTTGCTGGAGTTTCTACAGCCTGGCTCCCAGCCACCATTGGCACTGGCCCTCGGCAGACTGGATTCACATTCTGTCTTCCTTTTGGCACGTTCTCGTGCTGACTCAAGAAAACTAAGGGTCCGTATTTTGAGCCAAATATTGAAAATAATTCCTTCATATACCTAGCAGAGGGGATTTTGGATTGAGCATGCGTGCCCACGACTGATTTCCACCTGGTAAGGAGGCTTCATTGGCCTTGTGTCCTTCTGAATAGAAAGTATACCCACATACACACCCATCCACACATGCCCACAAACCGCAATACACACACACACACACACACACACACACACACACACATATTCTTCGGTCTTTAAGAAAATCTTTTCATGCAGAAGGTTTCTTAAATGTATTTGCTCAAATTAAAAATAGCACAGGCTCCCTGTAGAGCAAATAGAAAGAAATTGAAATCACCGACAGTAACGTCAGCCAGAAATAAACGCTGTCATAGTCAGGTGACAACTTGTCCCTTCCTTTTTTTTTTTTTTTCCCTGAAAGATCTATAGATTTACAAAATTAATACAATTTTGAATATACAATATTCTATGCTGTTTTAATTTAATATTACATTATAAGCAGTCTCATCAAGTTAGAGCTTGTTCATAAGTGTATTAAACTGATCGTCAGCATTTACCAGATTTCTACTATTCAGTTGATTCTCTTTTTTGTTATTGTGACTAATATTGGAGCAAACACTTTTGTAGCAATTGTCATCCACCTTTTGGATATTTTGAATGGACAGGTGCCTCAAAAGGGATTCCTGGTACAAAAAGCAACAGAGGCTGTTGGTCACAGAGATAAGGTCCGATGTATTCTCTTTTGAACTGACTGGTCACCACAAGGGCCAGCTTTCCCGCCGGTGAGCTGCCCATGATTCTGAAGTGTTCACGGGGTGGTGAGAAGACAGTGCCTCAGATTCAGGCGGGCGAGGAGAGAGAAGAAAGTTGTCATGGTGGCCGTTTTGTGGTAGGTGGGGTGGATTTAGACTGACTACAGGGAGAAAAGAGGGTCTGCAAGGCAGGGAACCGCCCCCCCCCAAGCAGAACCCTGGGAACAGGAGTCAGCCCACAGCCTGTTCGTCTCACCCCCGCCCCCCACCACACACACACACTTCACCTACAGACGGCTCTTCCCTTTCTTTGGACTCTGCAGTGGTTCCCCTTCTTTGAGCTATGCGTTCTGATCCTGAAGGTGGCCGTGACCATGCTTCTTGTCACAGCAGCTAACATTTACTGAACCCTGCTGCATGCCACTTGACTTCACTCATTCAGCCCTCTCAGCAGCCCCAAGGAGGCGTGTGTATTGTGATCCCCGTCTTACAGATGAGGACACAGAGGCACAAAGAGTTGTCATTACTCCAGCAGGAGAGCTGGAATGCAGTCCCAAGCAGCTTAGCCCCAGAGGCAGCCCTTTTAGTCACCAGATCCTGTGACATCCCGGGACCTCAGTACATTACCTCCCCCCCCCCAGGAGGTTATAGCATCTGCTGTCCCCGGTCCTGTAACTGAATACACTGGCATCTTTTCTCTAAGGGACCAGCGGGGGGAAGCTAAATCCACCCCCAGCACCCCCTGCGAGATCACCCACCACAGAGCTTTCAAGCAGAAGCCAGCAGGCCCCAGCCTGGACCCCAGCACAGCAGCCGGGAGGTCAGCTGCGCAACGGAAGCCTGCATATCCTCGGTGAGTGGGGTCACCTTGTGCTGCGCCGGCTGCCGGTGTGGGAGTGGGTTCCCTTGGCCCTTGGAGGGAGTGTGCCAGCCCAGCATGTCAGGGTGCGTGCTTCACAAGAGCAAGGAGCTCCCCCCAGGGCAAAACAGCCAGCAAGTTGTGTTAAAGAATATTTCTCTTGAGGCTTTCTGGGAGGCTCCAGAACTCATCCTCTAACTTTCTGATTGCGATGAGAAAAACGGAAGAAAACCAACATTCAAACTGTATATGTGTGTGTCTTGTCTGTCTCCGTGGAGAAATCCATGCGTATTGGATGACAATAGAAAGAATGGAGTGGTCTGGAAAAGGTGAAAGGATGAGTAGAAGGCCCACCAGACAGAGGGACTGTTAGGGCAAAAATACGGAGAGAGGAAGGAAAGTTCTCTAGGGTCAGACCCAAAGCCTAGGTCACAAAGCAGGGACTCAACTAATAAAAGGGCCACAAGTCTCCTCTCACAATCAGGAACTCAGGGAAAATCCTGTTTGCTTTGGAAAGTTCCAGGTCCCCCACTGGACATAAGCCATAAGCCTTCCCACCAGCCAAGCTGAGGACTTTTAATCTCACCCCTCCCAAAAAAAGCCCTCACCAGGGTCTCAGGAGTAACTGCAGGCCCCAGGCACTCTGCTGGTCCCTTGTTGCTGTCATGTTCCCCACCTCTGATTCTGGACCCTGGATAGCTCGTGATTTCTCCCTTTAGAAGTTTCCTTAAGATATTGGCGAAAGCAAGGTGGGGTGGATGATAGGGAGAGTCTGTTGATTTCACTTTTCCTGATTCTCCTTGTCTGAGCTAAGCAGTAAAAATCGAAAGGTGATAGATGAGTATTCCTAAGGAGGAATGGCTCAGCCGCTAAAGCCCTTGAACTGGGCAGGCAAACCTGTGTGCTCCTGGAAGTTTTCAAGTTCATCACAATAACCAAAGTAATTTTTCTATTTTCCACGTGTGCAGATGACTTTGAATCTAAATTCACGTTCCATACCATGGAAGACTTTCCTCCTCCAGATGAATATAAACCATGCCAGAGGATTTACCCCAGCAAGATCCCCAGAAGTAAGTACCACTTGGGAAGCCTCTTGGTTTTCCCTGACCCTCCAGAAGTAAATGCTTAGTATGCATTGATGGGCCACAGGCTGCCTAAAGGATGATGTCATGATTTCACCGTACTACTGGGATAATACAGTGCTATTCCTGCTTCTGGAAGGATCTGAACACTTACTTGTCCTGGCCCCAGTGATTCTTTAGAAGCTTTTTACAGAACTCCAGAGTGAATTGTTTGGCTTTGGATTTGAGTGCCTGGATTTACTGCTTGTCCCTCCCCTCCCAGGGCTTTTGACAAAGGAGCTAACCACCCCAAGACAACAGCAAAATGGGAGACAGGAGCTTCGTATTAATACCCAGAGAACATTCTAAATGAGTGTTCAGAATTCTGGCAGACTGTGAAATGAAGAATGTCCTTAGGTCAGTGGTTCTCAACCTTGAATACACATTAAAATGACCTACAGAGCTTTTAAAAATCCCAAAGGCCGGGCTGCACCGAGACCCACTAAATCAAACGTGCAGGAGGGGACCCACGTGGCAGTATTTTTGAGAACTGCCAGGTGATCGCAGTGTCCAGCCAAGGATGAAAGTCTCAGGCTGATAAGAGCCTGACTTCTCCATATTTCATCATGTGGCCAGCCTCCAAGTAGAGGCCTTCACTCTGCTTACCTCCTTAGCCCCCTAAGAGTAGAAGAGGCAGAGGCTGGCGTATCCCTCAGGCCCGAAAGGGCAGGGAAGCAAGTACTTTAGGAAAACAGGAAGCAAAGAAAAGCAAAGTGGAGAGTGTTAAGCACACAGCGAAACTGCCTATTAGTTCTGGTCTAGTGCTGAGCCAACGCAGTTGGGCAGGGGCTGGTAAGAGGGGACAGTGACAACAGCATGGAGTAATAAGGAAGGCTGTTTCCCGCGCTCCAACAGGAGTTAGGCCCCCGGGCTCAGACATCTGTGGACTAGCATGGAAGATCATCTGGGTCCTGGGATAGCCCAAGACCATGAACTGGACTTCGGCGATATCCCTCCTCCAGGGTTCACCCCCCTGCAGGCAGATCAGGGAGCGTGCACCTGCTCCCTGCTCAGCTCACAGGTCCTCTTGGAATCAGCCTGGGCAGGTCTTTTTCTGCTGGGATTATACATTTAGAGAGAAGTGACCTTGTGTGCTTTTTAAATAATGTGCAAACACTGCTGCTGTGAACTAAGACAGAGAGAGGAAGGGGAGAGGAGCAGCATGAGATGGAGGGCCAGAGACGGACTCCATATTTTCACACTCCTGCAAGGCTCATTCCTTTCCCTAAGCAGGTATTTGTTAACTGGCCATGTTCATGCCACAAATCCCACCGTTCTCTGCTACACCCAGATGGTAAAGGGTGAATGTGACAACTGGCCCCTGGAGGCTTTTCGGTTACTGACTGCTACCCTAAACCAGAGGCTAGAAACAACATATTTGAAGCTCTGTGGGCCATTTGGTCTCAGTCACAACTACTCGGTTGTGCTGTTTTGACCAGAAAGGAGCCATTGACGATACAAAAATGAATGGGCATGGCTGTCTTCCAGTAAAACTTTATTTACAAAAAACAGGTGCCTTGGGGTGCCTGGGTGGCTCAGTGGGTTAAAGCCTCTGCTTTCGGCTCAGGTCATGATCCCAGAATCCTGGGATTGAGCTCCATCGGGCTCTCTGCTCAGCAGGGAGCCTGCTTCCCCCTCTCTCTCTGCCTACTTGTGATCTCTCTCTGTCAAATAAATAAAATCTTAAAAAAAAACAAAAACCAAAAAACAGGTGCCTGCTAGATTTGGTCTGCTTGCCCTATTTTGCTAATCTTGGCACTAAACCATTCCAGAAAAGCAGATTCTCCAAAATCTCATTTCTTTCTTGTACCACGGTAGGCAGTCCTTCAACCTTCAGATGCGGTAAATTCTAAAGTTCGCTGCTTTTTGAGCCCATGGTGCCTGGTCCCTTCCCTGAGAATGGAAACGAGGCCATGCCTCGTACAGATCGCCAGGAGGGCGCAGCTGGCCATCTGTGCTGTCTTCCTATCAGCACAGAGAAATGGCCACATCAGGGGCTATATACACACAAAAATAACCGGATGCTCAGGAAAATGCAGTTTAAACAAAAGTAAAGAAAAAGAAAACCTGCTAAGTGAACTGACATCCTACAGACCAGGAAGGGTATTTGCAATTTCAAAAATAAAATATAGCTTTGGAATAATGCAGCATTGGCAGACTCAAAATCCTCCTTTGGCTTCCGAGCACTATTACACTGGCATGTTCCTGCCCTCCCTGTGAACTGTAGGGTAGAACCTTGGTAATTCTATTAGTGTGATACAGTTCATGCCTGTCTGATTCCATTTCTTCGCACAGTTTTCCTCCTGCTCCCCACTGACCTGGTTCCCCGAGACTGGAGTTGATGATCTGGGAGACAGCGTTGGTTCTGTGGGATGAGTGTGTTCTCACGCTGTCTCGTAGCAGTTCTGGCTTTGTCTCCAACAGCTTGCATGCTTTCTCTCTCTGCTCCTGACACCCGCACACAGCACACAAACACCCTTGTGCATGGCTTTTCTACTTGTCCTCTTCACTGTCTCCACCCTGCTCATATTAGTGGTTTTCTTTCTTTGATAGAATGATTTTACCTAATTTTTTAATTTTTTAAAAAATGTGTTATATTCCTCAATAAGTCAATTGTAGAATTACTATAGGATCCAGCAATTCCGCTCCTGGGTATACACCCAGAAGGATTGAAAACGGGGTTCAAACGAGTTCATGCACAGATATTCACAGCAGCACTCTTGGCAATAGCCAGAAGGTAGAAACATCCAGTGTCCATCCACTGATGAATGGATAAACGAAACATATAGCCATGCGATGGAATATTCTTTGACAATGAAAGGGGATGAGGTACGGATCTATGCTACAACATGGATGAACCTTGGAAACTCGTGATGTGTGACCGAATGCAGACACAAAAGGTCACGTGTCTTATGATTCCATTTCCATGACGGAGCCAAAATGGGCAAATCCTTAGAGACAGAAAGTAGAGTTAGCAGTTGTCGGGGGTTAGGGGTATGAAGAATGAGGAGTAGCTCCTAGTGGGTACGGGCTTCTTTTTGGGGTGATGGATATGTTGTGAAACTAGGCAGAGGTGATGGTCGCACAACACTGTGAATGTATTCAACGTCACTGGTGGTAAATTTTATGTTATGTGCATTGTACTGCAATAAAGTAGGAGGGAACACCCTATCAGTAGGACTCTTGAGGAAAAATTGCATAGGTCACAAATATTTATTAATATAATGATGATAGAAAGAGTGAAGTTATCATATTGACAGATAATTAACTGAGACCTCACTGGAGAGATTTAGATAAATGGTCCCCAGACACAGCCTCAAGAAATTCACATTTTGGTGGAGAAAAGGAGGAGAGACAGACACCCAAACATAACATCTCAGTCTGGTGTTCCCAGCAAAGCCATCCTGATCACAGTTCAGTGGCAAAGTGGCTGGCTAGAAATCTGTTTGCATCCCAACTCCTTTAAACAGAGAATTTTGGGGGTGCCTGGGTGGCTCAGTGGGTTAAGCCTCTGCCTTCGGCTAAGGTCATAGTCTCAGGGTCCTGAGATCAAGCCCAACATCGGGCTTTTTGCTCTGCTGGCAGTCTGCTTCCCCCTCTCTCTGCCTGCTTCTCTGCCTACCTGTGATCTCTCTCTTTCTGTCAAATAAATAATAAATAAATAAAATCTAAAAAAAAAAATAAAAAAATTTTTAATTGTGGTTTAAAAATGCATAACATGAAATTTTCCATCTTAGTGCTGTGTTAAGTGTACAGTTCAATAGTGTTAAGTACATTCACACTGTTGGGAGACCAATCTCCAGAACTCCTTTCATCCTGCAGAACGGAAGCTCCGTACCTATTAAACCCATGAAAATAGCACCCACCACTCTACTTCCTGGCTCTAAGAGCTTGACTTCTCTTGGTACCTCATATAAGTGGAATCATATACTGGTTGACTTTTTCAGACTGGCCTTCTTTCATTTAGCCTGATGTCCTCAAGGTTATCCACTTTGTCAGAATTGTCTTCCTTTCTAAGGCTGAATACTATTCTGTTGTCTGTATGTATGATGCTGCGTTTATCCGCTCATCTGTTGGTGAACAGTTGGCTTGCTTCCACCTTTGGCTGCTGTGACTAATGCTGCTAGGAACATGGGTGTACAAGGATCTCTGATACTCATCCAGCTTTTAGTTCTGTTGGGTATAATATACCTAGAAATGGAATTCCTGGATCATACGATAATTCAATTTCTAATTATTTGAAGAACCACCATACTGTTTTCCATTTTACACTCCCACCAGTTGACATTCCCATCAGCAGCACACAAGGGTTTCTCCACATCATCACTAACATTGTTGTTCTCTGTTTTTTTAATAGTAACCATCCTAATAGGTGTGCAGTAGTAGCTCATTGTAGTCCAATTCCTATTTTAAAATAGTTACTTTACACTTAGGGCAAAACTAGCCACCATTGTTTCCATTAGCAAAGAAACTTCTCCAGCAAGTGCTGCAGTCACTTTCACAGTATTGGGTGGTTCATGTCATGAAATCAAAGGAGGAGCTATCCCAAGCCTGAGAGACTCTATAGACACTGCTGGTGGCTGAGCATTTATCTCTGCCTCTTTGGAGGGCAGCAGGACAGGAAGGACCTCTGCCCTGTGCTTACCTTAGCTGTTCTCCTTCATAAGCTGTCTTCCAACACCCCACTCTCTTACTGCTGTTCCTGTAGTTCTAGAATATTCCTTTATTCCTCTGAAATGGCAAAAGGAGTGTCATGTCTATAAAACACCTCCCTTGACCTGCTCTGGCCCTTGGGCCACTTACCTGCTCCTCTCACAGCTAGTGCGTGTCTGCTTCCTCTCTTCCTGTCCTCTGAGACATCTTCCACCCACCACGCCATGGAAAGAGCCCTTAGCAAGGCCACCAGGGGATGCCATGTTGCCAAAGCTAGCAGTCAGAAGTGTTAGCTA